ATACCTCTCATTCATTAAATGATTTAACTTTCTTAATAATAAATAAAGGCCCTCCCGTTGATCTTCGATTTGCTCGAGCGGGCCCAGTAACGTCTCCATTGGAGACTTTGTTGTTACTGTGTCTGGCATATCGAATACATCATGGGGAGCTTGCCAGGCTCTCCCGTGCGGGCGAGATACTCTCGGTAGCTTGCCGGGCTCTCTGAGAGGGGCGGAGGAATCGAACTCGGGTCGGCCATGTCGGCCACGTGCAAGGCAAACGCCCTACCGCCGTGCTATAACTTTATAATGGGTGGAATTGGTGGCTTTCTTTAAAAAATTATTTAATTCAGACCTTTGAAATCACAGCTGAGTACTTACTATGCATTCTGAGGTCATTACTGTGGATTCCAGATAAACTTGAACGTTACATTACCTAAATTCTCGTTTCTTAAAAAGTGGGGATCATGAGAAATCTGGCCACAGTAAAAAGTTTCTGAATTTGTAGCAACCAAAAATCTAAATGTGACTCAGTCACATAATGAATTTGAGGTGTTTTTGTCAGCACTTGCTTGTCTTGGGCAGAAAAGGGGTCATGAGTGAAAAAAATCTAAGAAACCCTCCTCTAGATCAGATATTCCCCAAGTTATGTGATGTTTTGCCCCCTTTCAAGGGGAGCCAGCACTGCCTCACTGCCGGAAATCATTACCCTCCAGAATCTACCAGTTTTTCTTTTTAATTTTATTTTTGTCAAGTTGTTCACAAGAATTTAATACGTTCAATATTCCAACACCAATTCTATCACCATCACCCTTTCTCGCCACCTTTATTCCGACTTTTCCCAACCACCACCCAAGCCTGCCCCAAAGAGGGCCCTGAAAAATTTATTTTAAATTGCTTGTTATGAACAATCTGCTAGAAATGATCAAAGTAAGTTTCCTTAAAAGAAAGTGTATGAAGATTGTTTCATCTCACTCTGGAGTCATTAAGCCTTTATATAAGAAAGAGATTACTAACATAATATTACAGGTTGAACCTTGTGTGCTATTTTATTTACATATATGTATAATATGTATATATAAAATAAGCACACAGTATAATATATTACTCTGTGTAATATATATATATATATATATATATATATATATATGATCAAGTGTGGTTGCTTTCTACTTCACAGCCGTTCATTGTAGTGTGCTACTCCTGGTACATCAGTGACATAGAGTATGAGATGTTGCTTCAGGAATTCTAAAATTTGAAAATAGGTGATACAGCTGGAGTTGAATTTTTAACTGTGTGGTGACTTTGGGGTCCAGCAGCATCTCCGCAACTTGTTCATCTCTTCTGAGACTTTTTTTTTTCTTTTGGTGAAGTCTCTGGATCATGGTCTTTAATGAGCCTATATGGCACCAGAGACAGTTTGTGGGTATGACTGCCAGGCTCCTGGAAGAACAGGGAGGTGGGGGGAGGTCGCCCATCCACAACTCTGTGAGATCCTGGAGATTCTGCTCACAAAACCCACACACTGAGTTTTTTCAACAGACTCACTCATGGATGAGACACATCCCAAACCTGGGGAGGTGGCTGTGGGCTTGGCGGCGATGGGATTCTGGAGGTTTTTAGCTGCCAGAGCTCTGTTTGGGCGGGTGCTGGGATCACCCGTTCCTCTCCCGGGTTCCCCGGATGAGAAGAATCTACCAGTTTTAAGCAAACAGAAAATGCGCCCACTTGAACTCTAGTATGTTACCAACCTTCTGGATCAAGGCGGAGTGTTTAGTCTATGTAGGGAAGCAGTTTTAGATCATGAATGATCTGATATCTGGCTTAACCTTTTTAACTTTTTTTTAAATTTTATTGAATCACCATGCGATAGAGTTACAAAGCTTTCATGTTTGAGATTCAGCCGTATAATGATCCAACACCCAACCCTCCACCAGTGTACATCTCCCACCACCAGTGTTCCCTGCACCCCCATCCCAGTCCTCACCCTGCCTCTACGGCACAGACAGTTTCCCAAATACTCTGCTTTGGGGCATTATGTTTTGCTCGAAACTTGCCACCACCATTCAAGTCTACCTGCCAGGGGCAGACGCTAGATAATTTATTTTCTGTTGTTCATTTTGAATATCATGAGAGCTTGCATGCCCGTGGAAGCAACTGGGCAACTTCTGGAATCCTAGATTCTGAATGGTTGGGTTCCAGAGGCATCTCTGTAGGTTGCTAATCCATTTGGGGATGCAGTTGGGCATCTCTGGACCAGGGCTGTTGGTGCACTAAGACGCTGCTGGAGGCACATTGTGGGCGTGACAGTCAGGGCGATGAGCAGGCAGGGAGACTGCACCCGCTCCATCTGGGGTTCCCCGGTGAAATTGGCTCGGAGAGATTCGGCACTGTGTTGTCTTCTGGGACTCGCTGCCGTGTCTCTGGGCCAGGGCTGTTTGTGCACTAAGATCTATCTGGCTTAACCTTACGCGAAGTCGTGTAACTTTATATGAACTCATGTAAAAATAAATTCCTTCATGATTTATTTTCAGTCGATATTTGGTTTGTGTATCTATTTTTCATGTATATCTAAGTCTCAGAGAAAACTTGGGGGACAAAAGTGGTATTTTAAACTTTTTGGAGAAAGTTTAAGAAGTTATGTACTATAACATCTAGTTACGATGTCCTGAAACCCAAAATCATCAAAGGAGTGTTTACCTTTGTTGTTCCATTTCATATATATTGAATATTTAGGGAATTGATTCCACTCTTTGAGTTGAGTTTTGGGGTGGCACCTTCTTTATACAGTGATACTTTGCTACCCTCCCTCAGTGGTTTTCCATCTTTGTAAATGTCAGTTACCACTTTTTAAGCGACATGGTAGAGCAGGTGCTTTTTAGCACCCCCTTTTTTTGTTTTGTTTTGTTTTAACATCACATCCGACAGTGCTCAGGGCTCTGTGCTCAGTGCTCAGGGCTCACTTCCGGTGGGGCTCCACGGACCACATGGGGTGCCAGAGATGGAGCCTGGGTTGGACTGTGAACTATCGTTATGGCCCCTCCATCCATCCATCCGTCTCCTCTGCATGTGCCCTAGCACTACCCCCAACCCCTGCCTGTCATTCTGCTTCCTGAATGTCCTTGGGACCCTGAACATCTCGCCAGCCCCATGCCATAGCTCAGGTTTTCTGGATCACAGCAGAATTCCCTCGACTTGGCACTCTCAATCCAGTTTCTTGTTCGTTTGTGTTCAATCCTGAGCCAGGATGATTCTTTCAAAAATTCAGTTTTGTTTATTTCCCTGCCAGCTTAGAACATCAGCACATTAACTTCCTTTTAGTGATGAGTTCGAAGGTCCTTCAGGATGGTTTTTGTCTCCCTCCTCCCCGCCGGCAATTCAAGTATTTATTTTTCGCTTCTCCTTACTGGATTGCTGGATCACTCCTGGCCCTCTTTCTCACTTTAACGTTCTCATTTTTCCCTTCTGACTGTCCTTCGGGTCAGAAACACCAGCAACACCCCAAAATTTATTCCTGGAAGCTAAATTGGGTTAGGTCTTTGACATCCATTAAAATTGTTACTACCTCCTTGTTTCTTCTTTCCGAGAGACAGCTTTGATGATCATCACCATTTCCCCCTCCAATCTAAGGCAGAAGCATTCTTGTCACATAGTCACCTAATCGAATGCTGATCATCCTGGGGTGCACACTTGCACAAACAAGCATACGTGTGCGTGCGCGCGCACACACACACACACCCCAACCACATATCACACACGCACGCATGCAGCTGGCCCATCTTTTCATTGGACAGCCGAAGAGGAATGTGATGCTCGAGACCACAGGAAGCCATCTGTTATTGCTGGGGGCCACCAGGGCCACACACCGAGATGTGGGGCGGGAGAAGGGAGCATATGGGACCAGGAATCAAACACGGCCAGTGCTTCGTGTGTGCCCTAATCCCTGCATTATCTCCTTACCCTAATTTGTTAGTTTTGAACATTCTGTTGACTCTGCATCATAAGGAGAACCTTATGTGACAGAACAGTCGGTGTAGGCACATGTCGGATCCCCTGTGTACCCAACGGGTGGAAGTACACATATCCATCTTAAACAGGAGATCAACACACCAGTCAGTGGACCTGATTTGAAGGACCACAAGCTGAGAATGGAGTGTGGATTTTTATTTTTTTTCATTACATGCTTGCAAAGAAATCCAAAGAAAAATGATCTGTGACACATAACATGTGAAATTCAGATCATGGTGTTTCTAAAATTTTGGGGGGATGTGGTCACACTCATCGGTCCCCGTCTTGCTTGTTGCTGCTCTTGTGTTAGAACTGCAGAGTTCAGTGTTGTCACAACGGAGACCCTGGCACACAGATCCTAATGCATTTAGCCAGCGTTGGTAAAGTTTATTGTCTTGAAATCATTTCAGTATCATGAGAATGGGTAAATCTGACATTGAAATGTGTCTTTTTCCCCTCTCTATTTTAAGGCTTAAGTTTGTTCAGTGGAAAACTATCATTGGAGTTTTGAAATTTTGTATTCCAGTCACTGCCTTATACTTACCTAGAGCTTTTGGAAAATTAAACACTGCAGATTAGATGTTGAGAAAATAGACTTCAATTCCTGCCATATTCTGTAACTAAAACCAGTGTAAATGATATATCCCCACCCAGTGATCTAAAAACAGTCATTCCTAAATAAATACTGTTTTGACTCTTAAAATAGACTACTTTTACATTATGGAGAAGAGGGGAGCGACTTTCTGTTACTTGATATAACCAAAATCTTCAAGCACTTAAAAATTCTTGAGGTCATTTTTGCCACTATGTTATCTTGCAAAAAAAAAAAAAACCTCCCATGTTTTATGTGTGTGATTGGAAGTAAATTTACTTATCGGGATTTATTATTAGGTGATATAAAATCTTCATTTGCATCAGTTAATACAGTTGAATTGTTTTTAAAGCATTGTTTACATTCTGTTTAAAAATATTTTGATTGAGAAGATACTTATTTAACTTTGTTTTATTTTTAGGGTTATATCCTGTGTTGTGACCTCATGGTTTAAGTGGGAATAAAGATGAGTATAAGCAGTGATGAGGTCAACTTCTTGGTATATAGATACTTGCAAGAGTCAGGTGAGTACTCTCGTAAAGTAAATAGGCCTCAAATTATTTTAATACTTTCAAAATGACCTTTGATGCATTTGAAATTTGTATCAGTCCAAACTGTTGAACCTTGTATGTTTCCTTACTGTCTGGACTGCCCATTTTGAAGCTACGTGTTTCTGCATGGTTAACTCTCTGACTCTTTCAAATATGTTGACATAATCTCAGGCAAATATTTGTCGTATGGCTTGGCTTTCAATGTCCAGAAACCATTTTTCTAAGTTCTCTTGAAATGAGCTTATTGCACGTGGGCCGTAGGCATATATCAGCTCTCAGCTGCCATCAATTTGATGGTGTGAATCGGAATTCTTGGCTAACTGTTACTAGTACTGGTTGTGGTTAGCATCTCAGAAGCTGAATAAGCAATATACTTTTTTTCTGAATGCTTTCATAAGAATGGTCTCAGTTGATTTTTGTACCTGAGACCTCATTTTCTCTCTTAGTGGGACAGTTAAATAGACATAAGTAACTGACCGCCATTTGTATTATTGTAATGATTATACAAGCTTTGTAGACATATTCCGAGGTGTAATCATAAATTAGAACAAAAACAGCAAAGGGAACATTCTGATTCCATCAAGGAAACAAAGTCAAAGCAAAAGAGGGACATTTTGGGATGGGTGGGACATTAGATGGTGGGAAGACTGACCAAATGGTGAATGTGATTGCTTATATGAGATAGAATCATTTGGCCGTTGAAGTTATGCCGGAGAGGATGAATTTTAGAAATCATTCTTTATATTGGAATGTTTTAATGGTAAAGAGAGATGCAGCGTGAAGAAAATTTTGCTAGTCATTTTTGAGGGAAGATGGAAGGAGTGGTGTTAAGACATTACGCCTTCGGTTACGGTTTTGGAACTCTGGTTGTTTTTGTGGGGCTTGTTCGCAAATCGTCAGGGAAAGCAGAACATTGACTATTAAATCTTAGATTCCACTGCTTGCTGTATTCTCCCGTTGTCGCTCCAGTTCTGATCTGCTCTCTCAGGCTGGGGCTTCCTGGTCCCCAACACCATCACGGCTCCTCTCAGGCCCGGAACAGCTGAGAAAAAGGAAGGAAAGAAAAAGAGAGAAGAAACTAAAGTCACTAATGCAGGAAAACATGGCGTGAAGCTTTGAAAGCAGATCTTGTTTCTTTGACTGAAGCCCACTAACTGGTGTAGAAGACAGCTCCAAAAGAGGACTTCCCTAGATTGTTTCGAATAGGAGAAAACGATTAACAAATTGGGAAAGCTCCGAACTGACCTGTGATTGTCACAAGGATCACAGATATTATGCAGGAATTCATCGGCTCAAAACAAACTATGCTTTGTGTTTTTTAATTAGACTGCAACCCAAGTCAGAACCTTGAGACTTGAACTCTAAAGCAAAAAGCATCATGATGGATCTGTGGATGGGAAACATTGCAATGAATTTGATCAGTTTGTTAATAAGGAAAACTGTTGGAGATGAAATGCCAAATACCAGTAACAATGATGGGTCTCATTCTCCTAACTCTGAAAGAGCCTTGAATATGGCACTTTTTTAAAAATCTCAGGGCTAGGATGAAGGAGACGTTACTGGGGCCTGCTCGAGGCAATCGACGGATAACAGGATGGTCGTGATCGTCGTGAACATGATCGTTGGAGATGAAGCATCTGAAATTATAAAAATTATAAATAGTTGAATAGCTCACCAATGTCCTGTAATTCAGACGGGAGGTGAAATAGGGCACGGTAGATCTAGTTAGAGTTGTTGGAGATCCCTGGAATAATCTCCAAACAGAGATCCACAGTATTTTATGTTGCTGTATGAAAATACTGCAAACAAAGAATCAGTAAGAAAATACTGCAGATTTGTTTCTGAAATAATTTCCAGTGACTCGGTATTATCAACACTTTCAAATACTGTTTTCAGAGAAAGTGCTTCTAAATCACATATTTCAAGGTACTCAATGTTGCAGTAAAAAGAAGACTAGAATTTTTATTTTTAAAATGCTGTGCATGGTAGGTAGGGGTTTCTCATCTTAAGACCACTGTGCTTACATGTATTGTGTTCTTTAGAGCTGTGTACTTTATAGCACACGGGTCATAAAGGTACATTCTTGAGCCTCATTTCCCTGAAAAGAGAAAAACTAGCTCCTCTAAAATTTGTAACATCCCATTATATGTAAGAGGACATTGAGACTACACCTGAAGTTTTTCTAAGAATGCAACTGTCATGAATTTAACATGCTTCTAGCCGAATCCTAAATTTTTTCTTTTTTTGGGGGGGGGGTTGTGCCAGGGATTGAACCCAGGGCTTAGGACAGTTGCTCTACCACTGAGCTATATCCCATCCCTAAGAGTTCGCCAGACTTCGCTTCTCTGTTCACTGTATCAGAGCCTAAGTCTCCAAATGTATTTTACCCATTACCCTTTTTTTTGGCGGGGGCAGGGGTGGGGACAAAAAAGCAAAACACTCAGCTGTACCCGAAGGTACTCTTGCTGCCTGATGGATTAGTCAGTGCCCTGCGACTCCTCCATGGTGTTGGCCAGTTCCGGCAAACATTGACTTAGAGAATGGCAACTGGAGTTCAGGTAGCTGCTTTTAAAAGATAATGTTTGAAAGCACTAGTCTACATCAATTAGAGGATAGTTTGAACCCAGTGAAGTTAGTAGGTATGTTCCATGTTCCCAGTATTTTAAAAATTTAGTTACTGTTCAAGGTAAAGCGGAAAGCCAAAAGTGGGGTATGACTAGCTTTAAGTGACAGAGCTGTCACTACCAAAAGATAGCAAGCTTGAGCAGGAGTCGGGAGGTGTGTTTATTTTGTAAAGGACATCATGGCCCATGCTGATCGGAAATGAGTTTCAGAAATCGGAGATGAAAGATTTTAAGAAATTCATAATTCAGTGCAGATTTCAGGCAGAGCTCGGGAGTGATCCCATCTGACCATTGGCCTCTTATTCCAGAAGTTTTTTCTTGGTTCTGATCACCAGTGATCATTTTGATTTTTCAGATTTTTGGCTTAGGGCCACACCTGGCCATGCCCAGGCTTATTCCTGGCTCTGCACTCAGGGATCACTCTTGGTGGTGCTCTAGGGACCATATGGGACATACGGGATGCCAGGGATCAAACCCAGGTTGGCTGCGTGCAAGGCAAGCACCTCACCCACTATGCTATTACTCGGACCCCATCCAGTTGTGTTTTTAAATGGCCATTTAGGTTAAGAGATTTAAAGCAATGTAGAATAACTAGCATCATAATATTGTTACTTCCCTTATTAGAGATTACTGGATCATAACTGAAGATAGGAAGAAAAAAATATCATGGCTAAGTAAGGATCTTGGTTTAAAAAACTAAACAAATATTCGAAGAACTGGGTTGTGACATCGGCATTAAGGAAAATAAAATTTCCATGCTTGTCTCACTACCTAAAACCTCTCAGAAATTCTGAAAGGGCCTTATAAAAATTTGTTTTGATAGATATGTGACTTAGGAATAATGGTTTTCAGTGAGAACTCTTAATATTTGTTCTCTGCAAACAGTGCTTAAAGTTGGCTGAACGGTATGGTTTATCTCCAAGGGAATGAGAGTCACTAAAATTGTTTTCATCTTAAATACTCTATAGTATGTGGTGATTATCCTATCATGACTGTTCTAAGGTCTAGGAGATATTACTAATTAGCATTTCCTTTGCTGTACCAATCAGCAGTCTTTCTGTTGCTCCCAAATTGATGTAACTTCTTTGTGTCCATTTCTTTCTTTTTTTCTTTCTTTCTTCTTTTTTTCTTTTGTTTTTGGCACTGCCCAGCGATGATTTCTGGTGGTTCTTGGCGGAACTCTATGCAGAGATCCAGATACGGTGTCCGGGATTGAACTGGGGTGTCTTCCCTCCCTGCTTTGGCTCTCAGGCCCTCAGTTTTCATTTCTTTTCCCATGAACTTCATTGCATGTTGAATTTTAATGTTCAGCCTAAGTCTTTTAGAGACTTCGACTGGAAATCAGGCATGCTTCACAGCTCATTGAAACCAAGTGAAAAATACGCAAAGCTTTTTAAGATATTATTTATTTTTTCCTCAATTTTCTAAAAACGTTGAAGCAAGTCACTTTGGTCCTCATCATTCTGCACTCTTTAGGAACTAGATTTCCTTATTTGACAAATGCTTTCTATGGAATGCGCTTGGTTTTCTCTCCTCTTGTGATTCCTTGAAAATTGAGTGTATTTGACATGTAGTAATATAATAATGTAAGTAATGATTGACTCGATTCAGTATGCTCCCTTTAATTAGTATTTGCCCAAGGACATTAATAATTTGATTGCCGTAATAACTCATACCTAACAGCCATATGCAAAATAAGCACTAAGTGGCACTTAGTAAGTTTTATGCAACAGAGGCTGATGGAATACTTATTCAGAAGAGCTCAGCTATCTGGGGCCTTTCATACTTCCACTTTTTGTTTATTCCTCATTTTGATTCACCTTTGACTCACTGCTTCAGTTTACTTTTATTTTTTTGGGTGTGGGCCGTACCCGGCTGTGCTCAGAACTCCACTTCTGGCTCTGTGCACAGAGATGCCTCCTGACTGCGCTCGGGGGACCTTGCGAGTGCCGGGGGATTGACCTGACAGCATCCAGTGTGTGCAAGGCATAGTGCTTTAGCTGCTGTGATTTTCAGTCTATTTTTTTCTAAATTGTTCCTTATACTTTCTCAGTTTCATTTTTTTTAAGTTTGTGGTGTTCATTATTCTTATTTCTTTGTTTAAGATGTGAAAATTTTATTTTTGCGTGAATTGTGTCTTTGATCAGGGGAGACTTGACTGTGTTCAGGAGCTCAGTTCCATTTCTATTTAAGAAGCACTTAAGTATTGGGTGCTGTTTTGGTTTTACAATTGAAGACTAACTGAAACACGCTAAAGCACTGTGTCTTTATTAGAAGAGTTACCTTTCGGGATATAGTTGTTTTTAAAAGCGCCCATACTTTCAGAAATGAAGTTCATCCTGTCTGTCA